TACTGGTTATTTTTTTCTTGTTGATTTGAATAAATTGTTAATCCTTTTGTCACTTATATGCAAGTACCTTCTCCCAATCAATGGCTTACCTTTTGACTTATTTTGTGGTATCTTTAATTGTTTACAGCTTGAAAAAAAAACTTTAAATTTGTCAGTCTTTTCTAGGTTATTCCTGGCCCTTTAATATTCCATATACATTTTAGGATTATCTTACCAAGTTCAGTGAAAACCCTATTGAAATTCTGATTAAAAATAGATTGACTTCATTAATTAATATGGGAGAAATTGTCATTTTCATAATTAAGTATTCCTTTAAACTGCTGATAAGTCTATTTGGGTTTTCTGTTTATTCTTGATTCAACATTGTAATTTATATTTTTAAAAAATTGTCAATTCATCTATGTTTAGAAAGGTATTGCCAAAAGCGATTTAGAATGTTCCTTTTTTTTTTTTGGCCACACTGCGTGGCGCGTGGGATCTTAGTTCCTGAAAAGGGATCAAACCCATGCCCCCTGTCCCCCCTGTAGTGGAAGCATGGAGTCTTAACCACTGGACTACCAGGGAAGTCCCGAGTATTCCTTTCTGATTACTTATATATCTCCTGTGTCTGTAATAATGTCTTAATTTTAATTTTTGATATTTTTATTTATGGCTTCTCTATTTCACTGTCTTTCCTGTAATAAGTTTGTCTATATTATTAGCCTTAAAAGAAGAAAACCCAGCTTTTATTTTAATTGATCCTTTTCATTATCTCCTTGTTTTCCATTTCATTAAATATTTGCTCTACTCTTTATAATTTTCTCTCTTATAATGTAAAAAGATAGAAAAAAACAGAGTGCTTGTTGAGTTGAATGTTCAGCATCTCAATTTTCTTTCTTCATTTCTGCTGTACAGTTAATTTCTCTCAAAAATTATTTTTGCTGCATCATGCAAGTTTTGACATAGAGTGATTTAGTTGTCACTCAATTTTAAATATTTTATAATTTTTCATAATTCATTTTTTTGAGGCATGACTTGAGATGTATTTTTAGTTTCCAAACAACACAGATTTGGGGTTTTTTTCTTTTAACATTTTTATAGCTGATTAGCAACCTTGTTATACTGTTGACAAAGAAAGTGGTCTGCATTACCTCAACTCTTTGATATTTGTTTTCCAACTCTTTGTGGCCTAACATATGCTCAATTTTTGGGAAGTGTCCACATGTACTAGAAAAAACAATGTATTCTCTAATTATATATATTGATAAAGCTTGTAAATTTTGCTCCCATCTTCTCAATGTATTTTCCAAATAACACTTTATATACAGTAAAGGATCCTAAAACTAGCATCTTAAATCCCAGAATCAATTGTCATTAAATATCAACTGATATTAGATCTGAAAGGAAAACTACATGTGTGTGCACACACGCACACTCATGTGTGCACACACATACACAAACATACATTCCTTGTTCCCTATAAAGGCTCTGAACCTTGTTCCCTGAAATAAAGCTCCAACTTCTGGTCATACAGTCTTCAAAAACTGGGAAAGAGTCCTACCTTTTTGGCTATAAAAAAGACACACTACCCAAAAAAATGTAATTGGGTGGTCCTGTGGTTGAACTACCACTGAGAGTTACTCCTGTTGCTGGTGGCCACACACTGTAGCCCAGAGTAACCAACTGCCTCTGTGGATCCCTAGTGTGTTCAGATCTAAGTAGCAAACCTTGTTTTTGACACAGCCATGCCTTTCATGGTTGTATATAATTCAAACATCTGTATTTATAAACAAAATCCAATAACCTTTCTGACCATTTCAGTTCTCCTTATCCTCCTCAGATCAGCTATCCTTCTTAAGATCTCTAACCTACGTCTGATAAATTACTTCTGTAGATATTTTCTCTTTTGTTTCTAAAATGCATCCAAATAATAGTCATCAGGGTGTTGGCTTTTATTTTTTCTTGGTTATGGTGACACTATTTTTCCTAATTTAATTGATTTGTACATATTGTTGGGTGACCACTTAATGATTTTGGGGGGAGGCCTCAATGCTACTACACTTAATTGTATTTTGATCAATATATGTTCGCCAGTATATGCTTCCTGCAACAGTTCTCCTTATCCCTCAAGAGTTTAGTCCATTTCTTTTCTTTGTATACTTTAAAAGTATATGTTCACCAAAACCAATTACTTGATCCTAAAATCTCACCTAATTAACGATCATTCTGAATATTCTGTGAATACACATCTAGAAAGTGAAAACCTGTATTACTATCTGGTCCTGTTTTAAGCACAACTTCGGGCTCATTTATTTATCTATTTTTTTAAAATTACTTTTTAAAGATTTTTTTGATGTGGACCATTTTTAAAGTCTTTATTGAATTTGATACAATATTGCTTCTGTTTTATTTACTTTTTTGGGTTTTTTGGCCACGAGGCATGTGGGATCTTAGCTCCCCGATCAGGGATCGAACCCACACCCACTGCACTGGAAGGCAAAGTCTTAACCACTGGACCACCAGGGAAATCCCCAGATTCATTTAACATCTACACATCTGTCTTAAGATAATATTACCTAAGTTGATTAACTTGTTAGAATGAGTTCACTTATTCTAAGTCCACTAATAAACCTTGGGGTTATAATTTGTTTCCATACAGGCCCAGGATTGATGTGGTCTGAATATGATCAAGTTTGATAGATGACTTTAATGTCTTAAGTTATTCTGAGCAAGCAAAGGACAAACGAAAGCTGACAGTACTTTGAAGTCAGTGCAACGTTCAATATATAGCAAAATAGAGAGATCTGGGAATATATACCTAAGTAATGCTGATTCAAACATCTCAATGTGGTTGTGAAGAGATAAAATGCCAAGCCAAAATGCTCTGACTACAAAGAATTTCATTATTACAAGTTGATAAAATTTTCAGGAGAAATTGTTACCTAATCTGAGCTTCTGAATCACTAATGAGGCTGCTAATAGAGCAATTCTTTGATTTACAAATTTTTAATGGTGAAATCCCATATACAGTAAGTTCCACTAGAGCTGATGATGAGGGACTGCTTTCTCTGCATTTTGATTTTCTACCATAGTTTCCTCAGTGAAAAATCAGTATAGCACCTTCTTCATTATTACGAAACACAACAAAGCTACCAAACCATGTAATTAAAGCTGGATGTTAATGTTTCTGAATTCTAATCTTGTTTCCCAAATCAAACTATCCAGATCATATCCATGTTCTCCAATTATTATTTTTTTCCAAGAGGACTTTTCCTACTAATATGCTAGGAAAAAACTTTTTAAAAAAGATGTAAGATTGAAACTTTATTCTTACAGCGAATTTTAAGACAAGTATCTATTATATCTATCATTTAGAAAACCCAAACTAAAATGAATGAAATAGTCTTAATCTGAGATTAGTGGGAGACTACGTGAATAAAGTTTTTAATTTGTTTTCCTTAATTTTTTTCTTAAAGAATTAATGATAAATATTGGTGAGAACTAAGTTCAGAATGTAATGACACAGATATAAAACTGAAAACTTGAAGAAAATACACCGATATTGTAGCCTGCATTACTGTCATGGCTCCCCTGCATCTTCTCTTGCTTCCCTAGCCCGTTCGCACCAACGCAGCCAGAATGATCTTGTTAAAATCTAAGTCAGATCATATCACTCCCTCAGTGGTTCCTTCTTATTCAGAATAAGAAATGAAATTCTTAAAATAGTCTCTAAGGGTATTTTACAGTGTCTTTCATAATAATTTGCCTCCATTTTCACCCCCAGATCCATGCATTTCTGATCTCATCTCCTCCTTTCTCCCTTAGACTCTTTCTACTCCACCAGCCACTGTGGCTCCTCAGTTATTTCTTGAACATGTCAGGTACCCACTTGCCTCATGGCCTTTGGGCTGCAGCATGGAATTCTCTTCCTTTACAAGTCACTTGGCTCAGTCCCTTACCTTCTACAAATCTTGACTCAGGTCCGTTCTCCCCTCAGTGGGGCTGTTCCCTACTACTTTTCAATCACTACAACTCCCATCCCACTCCTGGCACTTTATCCCCTCTTCCCTCATTCATTTTTCGTCATAGCATTTATCGCATTCACAAACACTATATATTTCACTTGTGTATTTATTACCCATCACCCCAACTAGAATGTTAGCTATACGAGGAAAGAGGTTTTTGTGTCTTTTAACACTGCATCCCCAGCACCTAGATTCTAACCACACGCAGCAGGCAATAATTAAATAACTGATTAATTAATGGAAAAAAATTCAAAGCAGCCATTGTGAGCAAACATTTTTGTTGTTCCTTAAGATCTAAATTCACTAGTTTCTATCTGATAATTAAGAGAAAAAAAAAACCCAAACCCCTCAATTTATAAATGGGATTTCTAGCCTAAGATCACTCCTGAACACACTTTACACAGCAGCATTACTTGATTATCTGAATGTGAATTTCCTTATTTAGTGGTTTCCAAATCAAGCATTACTTTGCTAATAAATTCAGTTGCCTCCAGGCAGTATGATCACTAAGACATGTAAAAATCTGAGGGTATCTTCTTAGTGAAGAGAAGGAAAGCTTGTGAGGTAACCAAACTAAATGGAAAAAAAAAAAAAAAAAAAAGGAAAAGAGATGTATTTATTTCATTTTTTTTGAGCTGAAATGCACCTGTGCCAGCAGCCAGTCGCAATTTAGACACTGGATTGTGGATAACTCATGGGAACAGGTCAGTACAGAGGAGGGCAAATGCATTCACACAACAATAAACTGGTGAAAAATAGTGTCATATGAAATCAAGTTAAGTGGTTAATGTACTTTAGAGAACAGAAATACAACTAAAAGGTTTTAAGGTTTTTAATCTAAATTCCCTGCATGAAAAAATAATTTTAATGTTGTTTTTAAACTTTATGCTCCCCAAAAGTCTTGATACATTTCACTGCTAGATTTTTCAGAATTTCTGCTAGACTTCCCCATGACATTTATAAGAATAAAGGATGCCTTGGACATTTGTTCCTTACCGATTCAACTAATGATCTTGCTTCCTCTTGAGAGCAATGGAAAGGGCTATCACATACCTGCACATTTGTGCTGGAAAGGAAAAGAGAATATTATTATTAAACAGGATAAAAAAGGAGCAATTACCAAAAAGAAAACCAGCTCTCAAATGCTTTACATTTGAGTGTATGATCCCAGCCAACAGTTGCCGAGTCTTTGGATCTCAGTGGATAATAACACATACACACACACTCTCTCTCTCTCACTCACTCACTCAAAAGGAGACAAGAGACCTTCTAATGCAGAATGCTAGAGCACTGCAGAAATGTGATTAAGATACCCTGAAAAAGGACCTGGATGAATATAAATTAGGACAACTGGGGTCTTGTACATTCTTTCAGGCAAAGTTATAAATATAAAGTGCTCCATAGCATTGCACCCTCCAGAATTAAAAAAAAAAAAAAAAAATCAAATGATAGTATACAAATTTAAATAATCTCCTGGTACATAAAAGGCTATTCCACTACTCTTCACCTTTACTGAAGAAAAGAAAAAACAAATTTGACCCATAGAACAACGACCACAAGGAAGAATTTTCCTCTAAGTGAGGTGATAAACACTGTAATTGGCTGCTGAAAGATGCTGTAGAATCTTTTCTCAGACAGGTATGGAACTAAGCTAACAGTGGTGAGAGGAAACCACAGGAACATGAAAGCTCAGTTTTGGTACAAGTAAGGAAGTTTAGCAAGGCATAGACAGCAGCTCCTCCCATGACCAGTAAAGGCTCTATAAAGTCCAAAGTCTTCCCACACAGTGGGGACTAGCATGCTACCTCCACAAACATGCTGCCCACCACGTATTTCTTACCTCCTAGATGAAAGCAAATGCATCATTCCCCTCAAATGTATTAAGTCTGATTTTTAAAAATTTCATCAAAGAAATCAGATTAAAATGGATATAGAAAAAGGTAGTAGAGAAGGGCATTAAAGCCAAATTAATTTTTCAGAATTGAAGAAATAATTGATTAGCAGATCCCTAAAGGAGATAATTAATAGATGAAACACACACATGCACACACACACACGCATGTGTGCTCTCCAAGTGGATCTAAGGGATGTACCTTATCAAATTTATTTTGGCAATGGCTTTGTGAAATATGCTGGGATATATATGATAAAAAGATCTGTAGTTATTTATTTATCTTTTCAGCTACATCTGCCCGTAATCAGACACTGGGTACATAGCAATTATGAAAGTGGTCATTTTGCTCTCTATCCAGACTCAAAATGTGGAATTTGTTTTCATTCTTGGCATAAGTGATGATGTTTGATGAAAGGTGGCATTATCATCTTTAAGACTAAACTATGTTATACTCTCTTCTTCATACCCCACGTTTAAGTAAGCTAAAAACTGAAAAAGGTAAGGCTTTATAAGTTAGATGTTTCTCTAAAGAAAGTCAAAACTAAATTTAAAAGGAACAAGGCAAAAAAACAGATACTGAAAAGTCTTAAGTGCTACTCTTCTGAAGAAAACATGGTGTATAATACTAAATATGCTATACACCAGCGGTCCCCAACCTTGTTTGGCACCAGGGACCAGTTTTGTGGAAGACAATCTTTCCATGGACTGGAGTTGGGGGGTAGGGGTGGATGGTTTGGGGATGATTCAAGCACATTACATTTATTGTGCACTTTATTTCTATTATTATTACTTTGTAATATATAATGAAATAATTATACAACTCACCATAATGCTGACAGGAGGCGGAGCTCAGACAGTAATGCGAGCGATGGGGAGCGGCTGTAAATACAGATGAAGCTTTGCTTACTCGCCCACCGCTCACCTCCTGCTGTGCGGCCCAGTTCCTAACTGGCCACGGACAGGTACTGGTCCGTGGCCTGGGGGTTGGGGGCCCCTGCTACAATGTTTTTAACATTAAAACTACACCAAAGTGAAACATTCCTTGGGAATTCTAGGAAAATGGTGATGAGAGAACAGGGAGTCCTCTAAATAGGGTTGTCAGATAAAACATAGAACACCCAGTTAAATTTGAACTTCAGATAAACAGCAAATTATTTTTTAGTATAAGTATGTCCCAAGCAAACTATTTTTTTAGTATAAGTACGTGCCACGAGACATTTACATTAAAATCTGAAATTTAGATTTAAGGGGGTGTTCTCTATTTTTACCTGTTAAATCTAATAAACTATCTCTAAAGTAATCCTCTATTTCCACAACAAAGCAAAACCATCAGCAGAAATATTAGAAAAGAAAGAAAATATTAAAGCCAGCACTGTAAATTTCAAAGACTAATAACTTTTAAAATATTCTGTGAATTTAAAAAAACTGAGTAACTTTTAAAATATCCCCAATAAAATATCTTGACAAGTAACCAGCTAGAATCTAGGAAGCCAACAAGCTGTACCATTTTTCACCTTGGACAAATTATTAGTATGGCTGTTTCAAGAATTAAGTGAAAGGTATATACAAATGGACTTAGGAGATTCTTGAATGATATATAAAATATAAAAGAGGAGAGATTACAAAACCCCTTATTACTATTTCTCCAATAGCCCCCCCTTTTTTTATAGCATTTTATTTCTACAAACAGTGCCATCCTCCTCACTAATATTCTTTTAGTTAATAAAGAATGCAATCTGGGTTTCAATATACTTTCCTCAGGATTTAAGGAAGTGATTTTTACTTTGAATGTTTGAAGGTGTAATAAAAGGCATGTTATCAAGAAACATTTTAATTTTATCTGAATTGTCCCTTATACAAAAATAGTTAACACTGACTCATATTATTTATTGATTCAAAAAATTATTCTTATGCCATGTGTTAGGGACATTTCTAGATGCTGGGGATACAATGTTGAACCATGGAGCCCCCATGAACATTGTAATATTTAGGGTTCTTTCTAGCTTTCAAACTATGACTATAGCATACAAAAGGAGAAGCAGTATAACCACTTAAAGATGATGGTGCCTACTATAAATGAGATTAAAAATACTGACTGGGAAGAATGTGCTGCTTTCCTTTTTATAATAAGACATTAAATATTTTGTTCTAAATTTATAAACATTGTGTACCCTACACACAATCTTGATGATCAAAATAAGCAGATACGACATTAGAACAAAAGATCAACAATACCAAAATTTCTATGCACAACAAACCATATTTCATTTACAAATAATAAAGATATATTAATAGCTATATAAAGAGCAAAATAAGTGATTAAATAAAAAGAAACAGGGGGCTTCGCTGGTGGCACAGTGGCTGAGAGTCCGCCTGCCAATGCAGGGGACACGGGTTCGTGCCCCGGTCCGGGAAGATCCCACATGCCGCGGAGCGGCTGGGCCCGTGAGCCATGGCCGCTGAGCCTGTGCGTCCGGAGCCTGTGCTCCGCAACGGGAGAGGCCACAACAGTGAGAGGCTCGCGTACCGCAAAAAAAAAAAAAAAAAGAATCAGAAATAGAAAATTACCTGCAAACAATAAACATATACCTAAAAGATGAAATTTACAGGGCCAGCAATATGAAATTTTAGTAAAGAGAAGATTATTTTCTTCAAGACAATTTCAAATCAGACAAAGGCCCACACTCATGAGAATCCTCAAAGACAGTGCTCAGGATTCAGATTGCTCAAGGCTTTTCATTCTAAAGCAAAGTACTCAAGAAAAAAGGAAAGAGAAAATTTAAAGAGGTAAGAATGATGATTTGGGTCCATAACCTCCAGAGTTTGTCAAAGAAAACTGACTTTGAAGTAAATCTATACAAAGCTAAAAGAACTGGAGCTATCCATATATGAATCAGATACACCTTCCTCTAGAAAGGTAAAGGAAACAACTTCAAGACATAAACAGTTTGGAAGAATATATATATGAAAAAATATATATATATTTGAAATAAACCATGATGAAGAAAGGGTGAGAGGAGTTGAAGAGTAAACCCAAATGGCAAAAAACTGTATTTCTCCTACAAAGAATTTAAAGTTGTTTTTGGTAAAAACAGAAATAACAAAATTATCCCTGCTAAAAAAAATACGTAGCTTCCAGAGTAAACATTAAGCAGTGGGGAAAAGGAATAAAAATAACAATGACAAAACTTATTGTGATAAAGAGGATTATCAATTAAGTAATTTAATAAATGCAGGGCTCCTGGAAACAGTAGAGTCACTACTGGATTTAAAAAACAACATCTAGGGACGTGCCAGGTGACACAGTAGGAGTTAAGAATCCGCCTGCCAATGAAGGGGACATGGGTTCGAGCCCTGGTCCAGGAAGATCCCACGTACCGCGGAGCAACTAAGCCTGTGCACCACAACTACCGAGCCCATGTGCCACAACTACTGAAACCCGTGCGCCTAGAGCCCGTGCTCCGCAACAAGAGAAGCCACTGTAATGAGAAGCCCGCACACTGCAACAAAGAGTAGCCCCCACTCGTCACAACTAGAGAAAGCCCGCGCGCGGCAACAAAGACCCAAGGCAGTCAAAAAATAAATAAATTTATTTAAAAAGAAACATCTATTTGTTGGCTTGAAAATATTATTCAGCAATTACTCCAACAAGTATTTATTGAGTGACTACTACATGTCAGGGATAAGGAATATAAAGATGAATACAACATCTTTATTCATCTACTTCTTTTTTTTTTTTTTTTTTGCGGTACACTGGCCTCTGACTGTTGTGGCCTCTCCCGTTGCGAGCACAGGCTCCGGATGCGCAGGCTCAGTGGCCATGGCTCACGGGATCTTCCCAGACCGGGGCACAAACCCGTGTCCCCTGCATCGGCAGGCGGACTCTCAACCACTGCACCACCAGGGAAGCCATATTCATCTACTTTTGAGGAACTTATACTCTAGAGGAGAAGACAAACTCATAAAACAAGCAGTTAATTAATAAATGCAGTGATAGGACTACACAGGGGGGCAAGGAATAGAGTGTAATGGCACCTTAGCAAGCACAAGGCTAGGATGAGGGAAAGTTTCCTAGAGAAAGCAAAGTCAAAACCACGTCTTAAAAGATAAGTCAGTCAGCCATTTCAAGAAGTGAGAAGAAAATCATGGCAAAGGGAAACAAAATGAGTATGGCCCAGAGGTCAATAAGAACATGGTGTTTGTGAGGAGTGACAAGTGGTTCTAAGTTGTTGAAACATGAAAAAAGAGGCAAGAAGTGACAGAAAATGAGGCTGGACGGGTAGCAAGTGTCAAATCCTGGAAGGCCCTGTTTGTTCTTCTAAGAGAAATTTGGATTTAATGGTTCTAAGCAGAGAAGCTCATCAGAAGCCAGGGAGCTTTTAAAACATACAGATGCTTAGACCCTACTCCTCAGAGATCCTAATTCGCCAGGTTTAAAGAAAAGAACAACACATTTGAATTTTCTAATGGTTTCCCTGGGTAATTGTGCTGTACTATACGTTGTTTGAGAGAACTGCTGTGATAATGTCTTCAGGTCAGACCTAAACTGATTTGCATGGGGAGAACAGGTTAAAAAGGAAGGGGGGATGGTTTGGTAATCAATAACAGAGTACACTGTAAGGAACTGAGAGAGAGAAGCAATTCATTAGGTAAAGACAAAGGAAAGAAAAATTTTATTAATATAAATATATTTTATAAATCAAGTAGTGACAAAAATAAAGAAAATATGGACAAAAATGAGTTAAAATTCTGAATATTTTGACTTGAAATTATCTAGATGTGTAAAATTTATAACCAGAAACTTATATCCTAAAAATTTTCAAGCTAAAAAAATTAATTTTGTTGTATTCTTTGAAAACACAGAGGAAGAGTAAAGCTGTTGAGAGAGTAGGTTTGAAGTCTGGCTTAAATCCATCACACAGTGAGACCTTCGATAAGTCACAATCTCTACGTGGTCTCAATTTCCTCATATGTAAAATGGATATAATAATGATACACATCTTATAGGGTTCTGGTGAATATTAATTAGATAATACATATAAAACTCTTAGAACCTGAAAACTACTAGAGTTCAATAAATGTCAATTCTTATTGCTAATGTAATCCTTATCATTACCTAGGAGGCTACAGCAAAATGACTCCACAGAGCATAGAAATAAAGCTACCTTCACAGTAAAGATAATTAGAATCAACATAGAAGGAATGCTATCAAGCTATAGAAAATCTAACCAGAGATGCTCTCTAGCTGTGCAGCTCAGGAAACCTGGGAACCATACAAGTCCCATTAAAGACGGCAAAAGCTTTTCTGAAAGTACCATTAGGAAGGAGAGGAAAGCAAACAGCAAGCAAATACCTCTTTGGACAATCAGAGGCCCCTCTTTTTAGAGGAGCCCATCACATTAATATCTGACTTAGAATATCTGACCATAAAGAAGAATTCAGTCTATTAGTTACTAGGATAGTGAGGGCTAGATGACATTTCATTACACCCAGTTTTCTTGTTAGTAAGTTGTACTATTTATGTTCGAAACAATTACCTAAATTTTAAGACTATGCTGAAAAAACAGAGTATTCTATCAATACATAAGAGGTAAGAAAAATGGGAGGAGAAGATGGAGTCCACAGTGTTACTCTAGACTCAGGAGAAACAGAATCGGAAGCTATAATGCCCAAGCATTTCCAAGATGAGCCTCTGATGACTTGGATAAAATATTCCTTGAGACTGCCTAATTCTTTACTCCATATTACTTTATTCTAATGATTTCTTTAATGTCTCTCTTGATGCCCAGACTTTATGCCCCAGAAGGACAGGGACTCTATTTATTGTATTCACGGCAGCAACCCTCCCATCAGCGCAGTACTTGGCAGTAGACCCTCAATCAGTATTTGCTGAAGAGTAAATGGCTTCCCACTTTCTCCTGATTCAAAGAGGACAATGAAGATGGGTAGGACTCTGCTCTCCAGAAAGACTGTGTACTTTTGCTTCCTAGTTAGGCTTACCAAGAGTCAGTTATTTTTGTTTCCAAACTTTTTTTATGTCAGTGGTCTTTGGTATTACAATTTCATAATTCAAGCTGTAATTACACCCATCAATGAAGGGAGTATGGAAAGAGAACTGTTTCTATGAACACCAAGTAGGCTCTAAAACCACTGAGGCTGTACACACTATCGAGGCTCTAAAAAGCCTCCATAAAGGTGAGTCACTATAAAAACTTGGTATCAAATTAGGTGTGGTAAGACAACTGTAAAAGGTTAGAAAAAAAGAACCCTAAAAATTTATAAGGGTTTTTAAGTGTAAGGAGTTTAAAGATTACAGGATTTGATCTTTACTTTCTATTATATATTAAGTTAGGCTATATATAATCTATATGTAATCTATATAGAAAATGTCTTAGCCCTATATCCACAGATTGATAAATGAATGTACATTTAAATGTTTTAAAGTAAAAATTAAAACGCTTGAGTTATATATGTTACTATTGTTTGATTGCCCTTAATCAATTAGTTGGTGACCCAGATCATGTTGGATAAGAAGGCTTTTAACTGTTCTTACCAAGAAATGATGTGGTACTTATTACATAAATTAATCATATGTCTGCATGTTGAAAAGTCGCTGAAAATCCACCTTTGCATATATTCACAGTGCATTATAATGAAATGCCTCTTTACTTGACAGTATACCGCACTAAATTATAAATTCCTTGGGAAAAGGGGTCATGTCAATTCCTAATTTCATAGTGCCCAGCACTTGGTAATGCCTTTCAAATAGGTGCTCTGTAAACATTTTTTAAATGAAAAAACATTTCAATTCTCTTAAAAAAAAAAAAATCAGATCTGAGCAGTATCATACGGCTCTTTAGTACCAGTTAGTAATAAAATAAAATAACTCTACATAGAAAAGACAAGTCCTTACCAATTTATAGCCCCTCCAGCACACTTCTCCATAAGCAATGCTTTCCAACATTCATGAGTAGATTTAATAACTTCAAGAGCAAAAGCCTAGTTAAAAACCAAAAACAGACACAGAAATCACATCATTATACTAACATGGAACTAGTCATAGTATGACAGTTAATTATTAAGAACATGAGCTCTGTAGTCAGGCAAACCTGAGTATAAATTCTCACATCCTTATTTACCAGCTGTGTGACTTTATGCAGATTACTTCATCTCATTGTATTAATTTCTTCATCTATAATATGCAATGTAATGAAGATCATCTAAATCAAGGGTTGGCAAACTTGGGCCTGTGGGCCAAATCCAGCTCACCATGTGTTTTTGTAAATAAAGTTTTTATTGAGCACAGTCATGCCCATTCATCTGTGCATGGGCTCTGACTGCGTTAGTGCTACAATGGAAGAGTTGAGTAGTTGTGACAGAGACCATATGGCCTACAAAGTCTGTAATATTTACTTTCTGGTCCTTTACACAAAAAAGTTTGCCAACCCCTGATTTAAATCATAGAGTTGTTGAAAGAATAAATAAGATGTTGAATGTAAAGTGGTTAGCCTACTATCAGTATCTTGCTTGTAAATAAGCATATACCTATTAATTTCACCTCATCAAAGGCGTAAGTAGTCCAACTGCATAGTCGTTTTAGATTATCCACTGTCTGAAGGTAGTAAGCCTCAACATCTTCTAATTTTTTTTCTTAGTATGAATTCATATAGTGTCTAAAAATGCAAAATCAACAATAGATATAGATCTAGTAATACCATCTAAGGAAAACTTGCTTTATTTTTCCAAAGCAGAAAATTCTTTATATTTTTCCCCCCAAATGTTCCTAATTTTCCTTGTGAGAGATTACAGTCTAAAATAATAGTTTTATATTTAAAAATCCTAGACAAAGCCCTCAAGATCTTAAGTGTTCTTTTAATGTACCTTTAAAAAATACTGGGTTCAGCAATAAACTCTTGTATAACAAAATACTTATTATAATTTTAAAGTTTTCACGACCATGGCTTACTTTACCTGCAAAACATACTTTCTTTATTAGTACCACTTAAAGGTTGGTTTATAATGTGAAGTTTATATAGTGGCAGTAAGTTTAAAAGACATAGTCCATGTTTTTGACTTTAACTCTTTGGTCTATTTCCTCCATATGTGTCATATTAGAGCCACTTTCTGGTAACTTTGTGGTTTTCTAATAGAAAAATCCTCTGACAGTAAGAGAATTCAAGTGCTGTCTTAATTGTTAAGCAGCTTAATTCAGCCATGGTAGGATGAACACTTAGGAGGGAAGCCCCTTTGGATCTGCATTAATGGTAAGTAACTTTCCCTTCTCTGGAGTAAGTAAATGGAAGGCTTTTCTTCATATACAATTTGCAGACTTAGACTGATCATGGAAATCCTTCATTTTCTGAGACGAAGGATTTACTGACAGATAAACAGATGCATATAGGTATTTATCAGCCTTACTGATTTACTTAGAGAGATCTCCTAAAACTTTTTTAAAAATAAAAATGATAAAATAATGTCCTTAAATATGAAAGTCAGTAAAAAGCACTTTTGTTATCATACTATATACAAATGTTCACATATGAAATCCCCCAAAGTGAAAGAAATATTGTACAGGTATCACAGGCACATTTTAAAATAAAGATTATGAACTTCACCTTGTTCTTGAATTCTCCATTAAAAGCAAACTGGTTTTCTGGTTTTCCCTCTGGTATCTTATAAAATCTGAACCAATTAAGCGTAGCTTCTAAGTAACCAGGTTTGTACTTCTTAACATCTTCAATATCTGTAAGTGAAGAAACAAAAATACGTTTTGTTAAAAATCAAAATCTACTCCTATTAGTGGCAGAGCACTGGCCTGAGGGAGTCAGTCCAACCCTGCTGCTCACTAGCTGCATACTCGTCAGCATGTATCGTATCACCTCCGGACTTGCCTTTTCTTCCCCATGTAAAATGTTACTCCTTCATTCTACAAACATTTCTTGAGCACCTTCAGATACCATGTAAGGAGTAGGGGATAAGTCGATGAAGACAACAAAGTTCTTTTCCTCAAGGAGCTCAAAGGTTTAATCAAAAAAACAAACATACAAAACAACAGGCAGATAGACAACAAATTGTATTAAAGTGAGAAGATTAAGTGAGATATACTTAAGGACTGATGTCATTCCGAGGACAATGGGGGGCTTCGAGTAGGGAGAGTTACAACATCAGGATCCGTGTTTTATATGTACTAAGCCAAAGGATGCTGACAGTAGAATGGAGAGGGCAGCACCCAGAAGAGAACATACTACAGGTGGATGAGAAGGGTTTCATGCACTCCTAGACCAAATATTTAGTAAGTTTCTCATTATGTATCCGACACTGTTGTAAGCAGTGAAATAGAACAGGAATCAGAAACAAGTCCCTGCTCACATGCTTACATAGTAGGAAGAGACAGACAACAAATAAAGACACAAATACACAATTTAAGTGGTGAAAAGTCTGATGAAGAAAAATAAATCAGAGTAAGGAAGACAGAGAATGTGGTCAGGGCAATTTTAAACAGTGTTAACTGGATGGTTCAGAGTTTTTCATTTCAAATTAGTAATGATTTATAGGATTTACTTTTAAGTTCTATTACCACGTAAACACCTTAACCATTACATTTTGAAGACATTCATTTAAATATAATTGGAAATACTACTGTATTAGTAATAGGCCCCTCCCCCAAAAGAGGTCCCCAACGAATGTATCATTTCCAAAAATATCATTTCAAAAAGTATGAGAAATAACTAGATAAAACTAGAAGTCTTTACTCTCCACTAGACTGTGGCTTAAGGGAAATTTAGCATAGTCCTTTATTCACAGTATATTATGGCAAATGACAAACAGACTTAGCACCACTTGGAGCGTTAGAAAGCTATAACTAAAACCAGGAGATGACACCAAGCATAGGGATAATTTAAAGATCACTTGGTTTCAGACATGCTCATGCAAGCCTTGTGGGAATCCCCACTGACTAGGCATGACAGGAAAAGGTAAGAACTTTGCAGGCATGGGTTGAACAGACAGGAATTATCCTTTTCCTTTTTATCCTTGCCTTGTGCCTGTTAGGTAAAGGTTTAGCAGGAGTGACAGATGTCTCCAAAGGCCAGGTGTTTCACATAAGTGAAATAAGTGTGCTAAGGCAGAGACCATAGAAATGGCAGAGACTATGGCAAATAAAAGACTGAGTATGCGGCCTAAAGGCATGCAAATCTAAAATTTTAAAATATGTCAATGGGCCACACATCTATCTAAAGTAATTCTGGAGCAAACTGCAGAAATGTTACAACTAACTAAGGGAAAAAAGAATCACTTGAAACTGAACACAGGTTAAGTAAGTGATGGAAGATGTTTAAAACAGTGAATTCTAAAGATTAAGATCACATCTTTTTAATATTATACACTGTATCCTCGGTACAGAGTTCTTTGTTATGCCCCAAATGGAACATTCAATAAAGATTTCAGCTAATTAAATTCTGATTATTCTTCCTCTTTACCTTATAAAAAGAGCTTCCTTCTAAAGTGAGCTTTCTATTGACCATCTTCCGACATCCTATCTCATTTTTACAAAAATAAATCTCTGAAATTAACTGAGTTCCTCCAATTCACTGTTTTCTTACTCAGAGGAAAAAAATATCTCTTAGTCCACTGAAGGTGAGCAACCAGAAATGCACTTTAATCAATGTCCAAAATAAATAATTTTCTATTACTTAAATCTGATTTATGACATCATTATATTTGCCCAGTCTACCATTTCCTGTTCCACTGCATAAACCCTTTTTTTTTTTTTGATAATTGCTTTTTAACACACTGATTTCAAATAAGAAAGGAAAAACTAAGTTATCCAGTATCTACCTCAGCTGGCAAGGTTTTCCCTTCAGAAGTTATGAAGGGAACCTGTTAAGAAAAGACATCAATAATAAAAAACCTGAACATTTAATAATGCCAATAAGAAGTGTAACTCTACAAATATAAGCTAAACTTTTCCATTCTCAATTAATTAAACCCTGGGGAATAAACAGCTGCATTTTCACAAAAAAATAAAACATTTTAAATATGCAATTTAAATATTTTTAAAACCATAGTAGCAAATGCCTCAAGCCAAAACCTTATATGCAATACCAACAGTCAGTTCAATGAATTACCAAAAATATGAAAAATTCCACCTGAAGTCTATAAACTGACTTACACAGTTCATAAAAGATTTTTATATAAATAACCTCATTTCTTCCTCATAAAACTCCTGAGAGTTGTGAGGAGTAAGTAAATTCACATTAAACTTAAGAAAACTACAGCTAAGGAAAGGTAAAAGGGACTTCCCTGGTGGCGCAGTGGTTAAGAATCCGCCTGCCAATGCAGGTGACATGGGTTCAAGCCCTGGTTCAGGAAGATCCCACAAGCCACGGAGCAACTCAGCCGGTGAGTCACAACTGCTGACCTGCGCTCTAGAGCCTGTGAGCCACAACTACTGAGCCTGCGTGCCACAATTGAAGCCCGCGCGCCTAGAGCTCACGCTTCGCAACAAGAGAAGCCACTGCAATGAGAAGCCCGCACACCACAACGAAGAGTAGCCCCTGCTCGCCGCAACTTGAGAAAGCCCGTGCACAGCAACGAAGACCCAATGCAGCCAAAAATTAATTAATTAATTAATTTTTAAAAAAAGAAAATGTAAAAGATTTGTCAAAATGTTGCCAACTCATTCATGGTAGAACTAGTATTATATAAATACAAGTCCTCTAATTCCATGAATTCTGACTTTTCTTCTATATTGCACATTAATAATTTGCCACAGGTTTATTTATATTAGTTTTTATGTGTAGATGTATTTTTATTTTGGTTTTATTGCGGGAAAATATACATAACATAAAATTTACCATTTTTAAGTGTTTGATTCAAGGGCATTAAGTACCTCCACAATGTTGCACAACCATCATTATTATCTAACTCCAGAATTTTTTCATTAGATATATTTTTTTATAATATATGTTATTGTAAGAAAAGCAGCAATTCTCTAGTAGTCATTTATTTCCACTCTTGGAATTAATTTTATACGAAAGTTTCTACTAGAGATAATTATATAATTTATTTTCAAGATGAACTAATCCAACAATAAAAGTCAGAATAATCTAGAAGAGCTCTTTTATATAATCAAGCTAAGCTTATTTCGGTTTCAGTTTTTAACTACAATTAAACTCTCTTAATCGAGATCTACTTGATCAATTAGCCAGACGATTAACAAAGACTCTCCACTTCTGTAAATATTCTGCCTGATGTCCACAGTGGTCTGTCTGCAGAGTCTGATAGACAGCTCTAGAATGAAGCCCACACTTGGCTCCCACCAGTTAAGTTTTAGCCTTAGCAAGCAGGTATGTTTATTCCCAAAACATTCATACCAACTGCATCTGTTGTTATAATTATGAGATTTAATAAAAATTATATAAGGCAGTGACTTTATCAGTACAAAAAAATGAGATTTTGTTTCTATGAAAGTAACTTGAATGTTTTTAAAAGAATTCAATAAAAGAGACTGCTAAAAATATCAGCTGTCGGGGCTTCCCTGGTTGCGCAGTGGTTAAGAGTCCGCCTGCCGATGCAGGGGACACGGGTTCGTGCCCCGGTCCGGGAAGATCCCACATGCCACGGAGCGGCTGAGCCCGTGAGCCATGGCCGCTGAGCCTGCGCGTCCGGAGCCTGTGCTCCGCAACGGGAGAGGCCAGAACAGTGAGAGGCCCGCGTACCGCAAAAAAAAAAAAAAAATCTGCTGTCAAAGTAGGCCTGGGTCAGTTAAAGATGAGATAAAGATGTAAAAATTTACAATTAAACATGTCGATTGATCTGCAAATGAGGTGGGGAAGAGGATTTTAGATATGAGAGATCAGGGAGAGCCTCTGACAAAAAGTATTTTAGTAAATTCTTAGAGGAAGTGTGGGAGCAGCTCATTCACATAGGCAGAAGAGGAGTTCTGGGAGGAAGACTGTGCCAATCAATACTCTGAGGTACGAGTGTGCATCAAACGTTTGAGGAAGACAAGAAAACCCTGCGTTTAGAGCAGGGTGAAGTAAGAGTATTAGGAGATGAGATTATAGAAGCAGTCACATAGGAGTCTAAGGGCCAGACTAGGGACTTGGCTTTGCGATGAGAAGCCACTACAGGATTCTGGGCAGAGTATGTGTTGCATGAAGAATTCTAGCTGCCGTGTAGGGAAAAGACCGTGGAGAGGAAGAAGTGGAAGCAGGAAATCCAATATGAGGCGAAATGTGATGAGGGCTTTGATTATTGTAGTTGTATGGAGGTGGTGACAAATGGTCAGTTTTGGATATTATTAGAAAGCAGAACTGAGACGAATTACCAGTTAAAGAAAAAATTAAAAACAACAAAACCCAGTAAAGATCAGACTTATGTAAAATTTAAAGTATCAAAGAGCTAAAAAGGACTAGTCTGTAACATTAAGTAGCAGTTTAAATTATAATACAACTAAATGCAGTCACCTAATATATATTACCCTATTTTTTTAGTTTCATAAAAGGTGTCATAACTTCTGACAAATAGTGTACAGCCACGATTTACTTTATAAAAGAGCTGTTTCCAAATTTGAAAGTTTAATTAACAAAGATTATATACAGTCTCCTTAAGGGAATTTTTATATTAAAACTAAAAATACATGATTTATAAATAACCATAGTTCTATATAAAACCACTGGAAATTTTGTAAATTTCTTTATTAAATGCTAGGTAAAAAGCAAAACAGAAAATAATGATGCA